TTTTCCTGGGCTCCATGATCACTGCAGATGGAGACAGCAGCCACGAAATTAAAAGACGCCTGCTTCTTGGGAGGAAAGCAATGACAAACCTCGACAGCATCTTTAAAAGCAGAGACATCACCTTGCCGAGAAAGGTCCGAATAGTCAAAGCTATGGTTTTTCCAGTAGTGATTTATGGAAGTGAGAGCTGAACCATAAAGAAAGCTGCCCGCCGAAGAATTGATGTTTTTGAATTGTGATGCTGGAGGAGGCACTTGAGAGTCCCCTGGACTGCAAGGAGAACAATCCTACCATGTCCATCTTTGCACAAAATGTTCCTTTAATATCTCCAATTTTCCTAAACAGATCTGTTTGTTCCTTTTCTATTGTTTTCCACTATTTCTATGCACTGTTCATTTAAGAAGGCCCTCTTGTGATGAGAGGGGGGTGGAGCTACAAACAGCGAGGCAGCAAGGAATCTGGACTCTCCAGATTTCTGCTGCATGCTGTGAATCCAGACTCTCCCCAAGAAATTGGAGGGCAGGGAAGGCTAGGAGAAGCCCACCCTGAGTCGCAGGAGAGCAGAGATCTTCTGGGGGGTGGAAAGCAACCACCTCTCAGATCACTCCTTCAGACAAAGGATTCCATCACAGGACTAAACAACAACTTCAGGTAAGCCTGAGCTGAATTTGAATGTGGAAGAGCTGAGAGTTCTGTTCAGTATAAGGTCTCTTTTAAGTTCTAAGCGTCCGTCTTGCATCCACCTCACGTTGCTGGATATTAAAGTTCCATAATGATAATGATAACAATACAAAGGTAAACTGTGAGCCAAAATCCTGCCCACCCACCAGGAAAGCAGCTAGAAAAGGAAGGCCGCCCCTCGTTTTGCTGAACCCTCGCTTTTCCGGCAGGGGGCGCGGCTGGCCTGGAGGACCGCCCGTCACCCTGGCCGCTCTGGCCGCCCAACTAACTCCTTCCTCTCTGCCCGTCCCTCCACCGGGGACGATGCTGGGCCTCCTCCGGCGCGCTTCCCTGCTGGGTATTCCCGGCCTTTGGCGGAAGCCGCTTTCGGGGCCACGATGGGGCAGGAGGAGCCCGGGGCCGCTTCGGCATTCCTCGGCTGGCGGGAAGGAGGCCGCCCGCCGTTGGGAAGGGGCCGGGACGGGGTGGTCTCAGTCGGCG